GCGGCATCTAAGGATGTATATCTATGGTGCAGACGGCCAAGCATGATCGTATACAGACGAAAGATTTTTGACACCTGTACATGTGATTTTTTATCGTGTGCAGGAAAAATTTATTTACTTGTAATAGTGGCAGGATTTTACGTGTCTCAACGTCATCTTAAAGCTGCGAATCTAAAAATTTTTTTTTAGATTCGCAGCTATTTTCCTTAGTGTGCTGATGCCCCCTAGTGGGCCGCCAATGTATTACAACGCCATATAGACGCTATAAGATCTCTTACACTGACACGATTACCGACTTCTGAGACGGCCTCTGGCAGATTAGTGGACGTTTCTTTCTTTTTAAGAATATTTTAGATTCTAAACAGAGCTATGCTTTTGAAATTTAAAATACCAGATGTTATTTTTTCTGCATCTGTCTCTTCACTGATGAAAAGAGACCATTAGAACCTGATGGATTTGCTTTCTAATGAGAATTAGCTTAATGGTTACCATTAGAGACCACTAGTTTTCTGTAGGACACCGTTAGATCCCATTAGGAAACCATCAAATGCATCTGGAGTCAGTCCCTGAACACCTGTTAAACCAGTAGAGTCCTTGACATATCAACCCATTAGGAAAACAATAAACATAGTTATATTATAGCTGAAGTTTGGGGGGAGGAACATGCCTGAAACCCCGCCTTCTTCCAATCTAATGCCTTATAAATTCACATCCTCGCCTTCCCATGACGAAGTGTTTGCAATTCCCACTGCCACCCCATCTCCTCCCTGTTCCTCAGTCCTACATCAGTCCTGCTACAGCTATGAGGGGGGATCTCGCCTTCTGGTTACAGGCAGAAGCTGCCCAGAACTCCAGCCCAAATTCTCAGAGTTCTCCTCCCTCCCTCAATCAATTTTCCCTCATACTACTGCCACATGTTAACACAGAAATGGTTCACTGACCACAGAATCAAGGATTTGGAATGGTCATCCCAGTCCTTGGCCTAAACTCTGTAGAAAAATTGTGTGATGAGCTGATGAGGAGAGTCAACAAATATCTGGAGAAATTTGTGGAGAGGTTCTTTATAAAGAATGGTCTGACATCCCTCACCCCATGTGTTACACAGTCTCATTAAGCATTACAGGAGAAGACTTTGCAAAGAGCTGTTATCTTTGCCAAGGGAGGCTGCACATAGTGGTACACTTAGAGATGCCAACAATGGCTCACATAGATTTTAGAAAAATATGTATATGCATTTTTCATATAAAAGTGGGACTTTGGTTAATATCTTCAATGAAAGATAAAAAGGTTTTTTACAGCCTGTTTTGCTCATGTTTACTGGGGTGCCAATATTTGTGGAAGACACTGTACAAGTGAAATGGCTTAATGAATTAAATCTGATATATAGTTCTAGTTTGCAGTAGTTTAAATGCAACATTTTCTGCTTTTTTATGCACAATGTTTGTTTATTTGATTATGGTTTGTTTGTTTGCTGTATTGCATATTTATAATATATAATAAATAAATAATATATATATATATATATATATATATATATATATATGCAAGATAAAAATGTTGCAAATTAATTTGATATACCATTACACATGTATATGTATATGATTGCATGTCTTTGGACTGTGGGAGGAAACCCACACAGAGACAGGGAGAACATGCAAACTCCCATTTGATAAACATATTTTTACAATTTTTTTAAAATTATTAATAGTCTGAAAATAAGAACTGTTAATTTGCACTACATAGGTAGGGTACGTGATGTGGCTTTCTGTTGATCATGCATGAGCCATGTTTTTTTTGTATTTGTCGAAAACGCGTTAGGATTTTTAGGTTTGGGGACATACTGTACACTTAAAAATAGTTGTTAATTATTTGATTTATCCTAATTTATTTAACATAAATCATTTATTCAGTTGTTTTGTTATGTTTTGTTTTACATTTGAAACTGACAGAGGGACACTAGGTGGCGCTAAAACTGAATCACCGCAACGTACTTCACCATTCATTCACTAACGTTAGATGTTTTTGACCTTAAGTGCCATGGCAGCAAGAAGACGACTTTAGGCTCTTCAGGCCACCTTTAACAGACTTATTGTTCAGCATCTTCAGATAGAGGAAAATGCAGATGTGGGAGACATGCCAAGTCGATAAAGCTTGGTAGACCAGTAAGATATTTTGGTCTTACTGATGGAACGTTATCTTGAAGTTCGAGCTAATGTTAACTGCTTTAGGTTAATGCTAGTCAGTGGAAAACAATAATCGTCCATGTGATCAATTAGCATAGTTCTAGCCTGCTAACAGGGAGACAAATTGCAGGGATATAAGTTATTATTCAATTTATATTTTTAATGCTGATCATCCAGAAATGATAAATAACTTTTGCTCTGTTTAACAGAGCTAAGTTTCATCCTTACAACTTCTGGAACGGTGCTAAACTGAACTGAGTTTCACTCCGGAAGAGAATTTACTGCAACTAACTTAATGCTTATCCCGTTTAGGCTATATCAATTTAATAATGTTACAAAGACAAGAATATTTCATATGGACATCGTAAGGAAAATATCGAATTCATCATTTTAAACTTAATATCTTTTTTACACTTAATCCTCCAACTAATCAGAAATGCTAAACATTAGGGCGTTAAACAGTTTCACTCGGAACGAAGGTTTTGTTTTTATGTAATGAAACGCTCTAAAGGTCTTAAGTCTAGAGTCCGAGTAGAGTCACGAGTCAAGATGTGGTGCCACTCGAGTGTCCATCTCTGTGAACTAGTTGGGAAGCTCATAATCGGAGCTATAGAAAGGCTAGAGAGACAGCTTAGGTTGGAAGGACGATTGAAGAATGACAATGAGTTGAACTCAGTGCTCAGTGTCCGGCTGTTATTAAAGCATGCCCAGAGTTTTCTCGTTCAGCAGTTTACATTCGCTTTAAGGTATAACCTAGAATACCTTGTTTTATAAAACTGCTTCTGACTGCTTTTTATTGTCATTTCAATAGCTAACATTTTTTCAGGTAAGTTGGCTGAGGATTCACTCACCCTTTTACTTGTCTTGACAGATAGCTGCAACAGAAGAGGGCAGTGATCCAGTAAACATGAGTGATCCAGTGAGTAACCATTTATCTAAGGTGTAGTCCATCCCCACTGCTGCCATTTTCTGAATTCATCTTTTTTCCCCCACACAGGACATGATGTCAAATGAAGAACAAACAGAAAATTACTTGGTACTATTTAGAAACATTTACAATTCATCATCACCTTGTATTTGGTCACTATGGGATTCATAGAAAATGCATTTAGATGAAGTTGTCAGTAGTTTTTTAAATTCACTTTTGTGCTGGGTGTAATGTGACAGAATGACGCTCACAGATAAAAATGGGAAAAGAGGCTTTATTGTTAGAGTCGTGATCCAAAATCATAGTCAGTAAACAGGTACAGGTCAAATACAAAAGACAACAAATACAAAAACACAAGGTACGTAACACCAGGTAAACAGGCCAAAAGCAAAAAAGGCAAAGTCAAAATACAGAAAATCAGTCAGAACCAGGACATCACAACAAAGAAATGAAATGCTCAGTAGCTCCTGGAAAGAAGCAACATCTCACAGACAGCTAAATTAAAAGTCCCGGCTTTACTCAAACACTAACTAGACTACAACAGGTGAAATAAATCAGTATTTGGGAGACAGAGAGTGGTGATTGGAGCGTGATAGAGTGTCAAGAGTCACGTGATCCCCAGAGGGTTCTGGGAGATGGGAGTCCATGGAGGCCTCTGAGCCAGAAGGATGCATGACACTGTTTTTCCATAATAGTTTATGAAAAACCAAAACTATTAATTTATAACCACTAATGATTAAAAACACCATTAATTAAATTTCATCCAATATTTATTCAATAAAAATGGAAATTTTATTTTAAATTCATTTCATGGCTCTGATTTTTAGATAAATATGTTGTAAACCATTGTCATAACACTGTCTTTCTCTTAACATAGCATGAATCTAGTGTCCCTGAGTCTGCACATGGAGAGTCAAATGAAAGTGTAAGTAATAATTTTCTGTTTTGCTCAAATTCAACATGAAGTAGGGTAAGGTTGCATAATTCTAAATGGCTAGAGCATATGTAGCTGATAAAATTTGGTTTGATGGGTAAAAAATGGCAATTATATTAACTTGAAATCAAATCCACAACAAAAAGTGTGCAAAAAAAGTCAAGGGGTCTGAATACTTTATGACTCCACTGTATATACACTGACCAGCCACTTCATGAACACCTCCTTGTATTTACATGCTTTCTTCATTTTATCAGGTCCACTGACCATATAGTTTCACTTTGTAGTTCTACATTTACAGACTGTAGTCCATCTGTTTCTCTGCATACTTTGTTACACTGTTTTTCAATGATCAGGACCCCCACAGGGCAGGTATTATTTGTGTGGTGGGTCATTCTCAGAACTGCAGTGACACTGATGTGGTGGTGGTGTGTTAGTGTGTGTTGCGCTGGTCTGAGTGGATTAGACACAGCAGTGCTGCTGGAGTTTTTAAACACTCTGTCCACTCTCTTAGACACACCTACCTTGACCTGTAGATGTAAAGTCAGAGACGATAGATCAGTGGTCACAGGACGCTACCCGCAGGCACTGTTGGCTGGTCATCTTTGGTTGGTGAACTATTCTCAGTCTAGCAGCGACACTGAGGTGTTTAAAAACTCCAGCAGCACTGCTGTGTCTGATCCACTCAGACCAGGGTAACACACAAACACACCACCACTCAATGCAATGCTGAGAATGACCCACCACCCAAATAAAACCTGTCTGTGGTGGTCCTGTGGGGGTCCTGATGATTGAAGAACAGGACAAAAGGAGGCTAACAAAGTAGCAGGTGGACTACAGTTTGTAATTGGACAAAGACTGTAAAAATAAGAAGATGCACTTAATGAAGTTGCTAATCAGTGTGTTAACACACACACACACACACAAACACACACAAATAAATAAAAAATGCATGTTGATTGTGCACTTCAGTAATTTTATATCAAACTATTCTACTATTCTAAACTATTCTTATTTCTCTGTGATATTGAAAGGACTTGGTGGCACGAAGGGCCCTGATAGAAGAGCAAGATAATGAGTTCAACCGCTCTCTTGAAATAGACAGAACAAGGGTAAGACTATTTAGTATTCAGACTTTCTGAATGTTGTGAAATTCTGTTACTATGATTTATTAATTGGAAAGAGAAGACTGTAACATTATGTTAGAAGTATTGTGTTTGAATATTTGGTACATCATACATATGAAGAATATGTATATATTGTTGCTGCTCAGACATTTATTTTACAGTGCACCTTTTACATTTTAACAATAGGACATGAGACAAAGACAGATATTGGAGTTGGAGAGATGTCGAAGACACACAGTAGAGAATAGAAGGAAACATATTGCCAATATATCTGTACCAGCAGAAGTTTTTAATACAGCTGAAATATCCAGATGGGAGACTCCTGAGGAGAAAATTTTTGGCATCACAGCCATTTCAGGCATGTTTTCAGTGGCCATTTATGATCTTACCAATTCAGTTGCTTTTGCCCTAACTGTTGTTCCACACTGATGTGCGTTCAACATATATATTTTTCTTCAATTTTGTAGGACCTGGTGGCTGTTGCAGGGGCTGATGACATGGCAAGTGAATTTTTTTCACTGCAGCCAGCAATGTCACCAAAAGAATCTCTCCATCCCCTGGCAGTTTGTCCCCTCCTGCTCGTAGAATCTCTCCATCCCCCGGCAGTTTGTCCCCTCCTGCTCCTAGAATCTCTCCATCCCCTGGCAATTTGTCTCCTCTTGCTGTAAGAATCTCTCCATCCCCTGGCAGTTTGTCCCCTCCTGCTCCTAGAATCTCTCCATCCACTGGCAATTTGTCTCCTCTTGCTGTAAGAATCTCTTCATCCCCTGACAGTTTGCCTCCCTCTGCTCGTCGTGTCTCTCCACCTCTTGGCAGTTTGTACCCTCCTACTTCAGCACATCACGTCCTTCAGAGAACACCTTTTGTTACTGTGCAGGAGAAAAAAGAGTAAGTTGACAGTCAATTTGTGTGTCACAAGTATTTACAGTAAAGTGTATGCATATTCATAGATGCTTCAAATTAAATTGTCTTAGACAAAAAGATCAGATCTAAATCCCATTTAACTTTTCAGATAAAAATAATGATGCAATCAGGGGACTGTCTCCTTTCTTCTTTAATATGCAAGTTAACATGTACATTACATCACAGTATGCTTTTGGAAAAAAAACAAGTATTTGTGTTAACTGTGATGTATTTTTTTGCTGTATTGACATAATATACAGTGTGATATACACAGTGATTTCAACTAAGGTCTGAATAAGACTGGAATGCCTTGTAAATTTTCATTTCAAGAGTGGTTTCATGAAGCCGGTTTAATATGATACTGATATTCGTGCTACATGAAGGGGTTTTTGTTAATACGTACAGTATACCACTTTTTTACCTACAGTCCTCCTGAGAAGTCTCCTTTCAAAAATTGATGTTGATAAGTGCCCATCACATAATCTGATAAATGTCTGCCATGATGATGTTATGTCATGTGCTGTACGTGCCTTTGAACGTCCTCTGTTCGATCCATTGCAAAAAATTGACATTGTGTTTGTGGATGACTGGGATGTATCAGAGGGTGCTGTGGATGATGGAGGACCGACCAGGGAATTTTGTCGTCTGTTAATACACACAGTGAAAGAAAGTTCTCTCTTTGAGGGGCCAGAAGATGAGAAAAACCTTGCTCTGGACTCCAGTGGTGAGAGTTTAAATATGATGTTTGTAAATATTCATTTTTAAGGCTGTCAGTGAAAATGGAACAAAGTTGTTGTTAATTTAGAGGCTGGTAAAGAACAGCCTAATCATTACTGTTGATTTGCAGAACCTAATCATCTGTATAATGTAAAATGCATATATTCCAGCTGTACGAAATGGAAGATACAGGGTTAAAGGAATGATTAGTGTGTGTCCATGGAGGGGTTGCATAATTATTTTCTAAGAGAATGTACAACATTCTCGCTGGAAGATCTAATGGCCCTGTCACCCTCAAAGAGATACATAATGTGGAATTCCGTGAGAGACTAGCAAAAGTACAGATTGTTAGATAAGCAAAAATGTTTCTGAAATGTACAAGGTGAACATTGTTTTCACAATAGCAAGTTACTTGTTTTTAACAAACGGCTTTCGGTGTGGGTATAAAGGAGAATACAGCACATCAACCAGTTCACATGAAGTTTAAACCAGACATTGATATTAGTAAAATTACACAGCTAACATTCCTATGCATAAAACGTTATTTCTAATAAAGTGGAGTTACGCATTAAAAAAAAAAGTACTGAACACAATTCATATTTAATTATTGGTAGAGAAGACTTGTTTGCAATGTCAGCTTAAAAACCTTTTTAATACAAATATCTGGTACAAATTTGTTGAATGTTAATGTGAATAGCTGCATGGGAAATATATTTAATGACAAATTTGTTGATGTGTTGAATACTTATTTCCCCCACTGTATGTCGGTTTGTAATAAATTACAGATTCAAAATGCATCACCAATTGAAGAGGCAAGAAAAGCTATCTTTGAAGCGTCTGAAAGCCTATCCACACTTGGCACAATGCGCCATATCAAGGACCTTTTTCAAAGGGACAGTCTGGTCCAGGAGGCTGCCCAGGACTATTTTGAAGAAAGAGTCAAATTAGGATTTGAACAGTAAGAACAGTCATTCTGAAAAACAAAGAATGCTTTGTAAAGATGGCACCACGTGTAAAAGATTTGTTTTTTATTTATTTATTGTTTTGTTTTTTTCAATTTTATTTAAGATTCTTGGAAGGATTGCAGACTCTCAAGTTTATCAGGCACAGCAGCACTGGTGGGATATTTAAATGCATCAGTATCACTGCTTTGTTGAAAATACAGCCGGCTGTAATCTTGCGGTCTGAAATTAAACACTAATGAAGAGCTAGTGGTAACATAAACCAAGTGGGTGTGTCCAAAAGTGGACACCTGGGCTCTGTCTCACATACACTCAAAATTTTGCCAGATTTGTTACTGGAGTAACAGTGCCTTGACCTGCAAATTCACAGGCTTATAGCTTAAGATATATGTGTGTGTGTATGTTTATGTATGTACGTATATATATATATATATATATCACACACACACACACACACAAACAATTATCTGTTTCCACAAACACAAACCAACATGCCACTACCATGTTTTATGCAGTTAAATACTGCAAAGTAGAACATGATTTTGGTCATCATCTAATTCTCATGGCAATACCTGCAAATTTTGGTTGTAATGGAACAGATATTTATGGGTAAATTGTAATGCAGTGTTACACTTAAGTCTCCCAAGACACATAGGATTGGATTGTATGCCCCTACGAAGAGCCAGTTTATTTTTTGAGGTTTTATGACAGATAGCCCTTCCATTTGTTTTTAGAAAAATATCAGTTTCTCTTAGATACATTTATAAATACAGTTAATGCCTCACTCTAACCTACGAGCTGTAAAAGACGTGAAAACGTTGTATTTCTATGCTATAGGAGGACAATGTGAGCCAGTAACCCTGGAGAAGCTATTGATATTTGCATCTGGGCTTGAAAAACTGCCCCCACTAGGCTTCCAGACTCCGCCATCTCTTGAATTCCTACATCGTGAGGCGGGTGAGAGGACATCTTTGCCAGAAGCTAATGCATGCACTGTAAGCATTAGGTTGCCAGTGCATCCTACATATGAAGAATTTGAACATTGGATGAACAATGGCATGCTACAGTCGCCACATTTTGGATAAGCGTAAGTTACATGTTTTCTGGGGCACAGTACGCAGCACATGATAAATAAATTCTGCTACACTCTTAAAATTGGTTCTTAAAGGGTTTTTAGTAAACCACTTCATGCTTATGTGGCACCAGAAAAAGTTCTTCTATTGTTACAAGTTTGACACAAGCACTATATAGAATCAGAAAGTTCTGTATAGAATCATTGTCTTTACTAAAGAAACCTTTTAGAGTGCACCAGTGCGTGGTAAAAGCCTGATCTTATTTGTTGACCTGAAATTACAATGTGTTATGTTTCTTATGCTAATTTTATTTCATTACAATTTTGAATTACAGTTTACAATTTTGTATTGTTAGCAAAGTTTGTCCAATCAAATTTGTACAACCTGAATCCTTTTACAAGTTGAATGAAAGGTAAAGCTAAGACTTCAAATATTTGTTGAACAAGATGACCAGTACTTAGAAGCTTACCATGTAAAAGCCATTCACAATCACGTTTAATATTTACAGTATAGTTCAGCTACAGTTCTGAAACACTTTTATTAGTGCTCAGCGATAACATACTTCATATGAAGAGTCTGTTAAACAATACTTTTTTTGTTAAATAACCAATAGAAATTGAGAAATAATTAATGTGACTGACTTTGAGGAATGCGTTCTAAATGTTCACACAAGTGGCATGTAATTTTATACAAATGTAAAAAATTAAAATACTACTATTTTCTACACTGTGGACTTATTTATTTTATAAAAATGTTAATCAAAACTTTAATTCCAAGTGCTGTTCACAAGGGGTGTCCTGGAGATGAGAACTGCTAGAACATGAGTCATGACTTAATTGTTATAGAACACACTTTATTTAGCTTCGGATTTTTGAGCAATGGGAATGTTTTCAATTATGGCATGTTTTCAGTAAAAATTATGAGAAACCACTTCCTATTATATTTTGCATTTAGTTTCCTTTACACACACACACCACTTACGTCGAAGTAACGGTTTACTCAGTCCTAAATATTTTTAGAAAGTGCATTGTACTATGACAACATTCATCATTGTGACATACCTTATATTCAGGTTTCCTAATAATTGTGCACATAGTGTATCTCTTATGGGACATTGCTTATGTAATTAAGAACTTGCTCAAAAAGATCAGGTCCCAAACTATCCTGTGCACCTTCCCAGGGATTGACCATGGCTTCAAGCTCTTGCATGACTCTCTGCTCAAGATGGAAGTGAGTGGCAGGAACCTCTACTGCTTCTAACCAGTTTAAATTGGGCAATTCTGATACCGCAGCCTATTCTGTGGCCACAGGGGGCTGCTGTTCCTCTGCAGGTGCTGGGGCTTCACGTTCATCAGCCCCAAAAAGGCCTCTCATGGCAGTGTTGTCACTCATTTGACAAGACACGCTACCATGGATAAATAGCTGAAAAGGTGACATACACCTTGCTGTCCTTAGCTTATGCTGGTTCCACTGATTCATGAAAAGTTTAAGATCTCTGTTTAGTCTCGGCAAATACATATAATGGAGAGCCCATAAGTGTGCTTCATTATTGCAATCGAGGGTGCCTTCACTCTCTAAAAATGTAAACAAGGAGTGGTTTGTATTTGTAAGTCTTCTCCAGAGATCTCTGGAGGGAACACCATACTTGTCAACAGGACAGGACAGTACTGCTGCGATTATTGGCTGAAGCTTTGAGGAACACAATGAGCCTGCTGTATCCATCCACACCACCATGTATGATCACTCTTCATCTGAAACAGAAGACCAACAATTGTTTTTTCGACAAAATGCAAAGATATGTTGTACACAGAATTGCTAGTTTATTGCGTACACATACAAATGCCCTGTTAGGTACACCTTGTTGGTGCATAGTTAAAAAGTGCATTTACAATTCTCTAGCCCCTCAGCAGTGCTCCTGACCACAAGAATGTGGTAATTTTAGGTGGTAAATTACTCTTGATGGCAGTGACATGAATGAATGTAAAAACCTCAGCAACATTTCAATTATTTGTACAAGCACAACACCACAATTCTACAATATCACTGCTGTGTAGAGAGTGGTCTGCCAACCAAGTAATATCCGGCCAACACTAAGCACTTGTACACTTATATAGTGGAACTAGCAAGGGTGTAACAGTTCATTGCATCTGCAGCTGCAAATACATGAACAATGCATTATATTAAAATTTTGGTAACACTTTACTGTTTACCTTATTCCAATAGGCATCATTTGCTATAAAGGTTATATCTGCCAATGTTCATCAAAGTTACCTAAAGTAGCCTTTGTGACAGATGACATCTATTGAATTGAGCATGCATAAACATTTATGTACAGTTATGTCAGTTGTCATGACAAGCTTATGTAGGTGTCATGTAGCCTTAGGAACAGCACCCTACAGTAAAGTGTTACCAAAATTTTCAATAAAAAGTGTTATGTGATATGACAATTAAAATTGTAATAATACCAACTCATGAAGTGGAAGGTGTCCTAAAACCTGGAATTGGCTACCATATGTAGACAGGAACATAGCCAAAATCAGAGTAGTAGTGGGGGGAGATTTTTTTTTTTTCCCCCAGCTCATTCTCCTACTCTGAAACAGCATGACAAAGTGTATTTAAACATGAACAAACCAATTGGTTGGGGGAAGAGTTAGGGCAAAATAAAGTACACCTGCTGTTGGGACAATATGAATGTAACAGAACATAAAATTGTAATGTTCCCAATGCTTTGAGGATTACAATACTCTCCCAGGATGTACGTTTCGACAGCTCTACATCAACATTATATGTAATGTCACAGCAAAGGGAAACGTATTTGCTTCCTGATCACACATTTAAAAACATTGCCATAAGAAGAAGGACCTACTGCAATTTCTTTGCAATTTCTGTTGACGACAGCATACAGTTCAAAAGGTCAAAATTGTCATCACTTTTTTTGGCTTTGCCAAAAGTTCCACCTAGATTAAAAAAATGTCAACACATCACATGCACATGAAACAAACCGGGGAGTGTACAACTGCAGATATTGGTTTAGGTTCAAAATTGTTAAACCCCATTTCTGATAAAGTAGGCGTACCTCCTAAAGTGGCCATTAAGTGTAGGCGAGAGATAAGGGAGATGCTTCTAATAAAATGAACAACTACTATACAATATATTATCACTGTCACAAGCTAAACACAGCAAATAAATAAAGATGATAGTAGGTCTGTCCAATATGAAAAGATGTATCGTTATCAACATAAATTGTATCACAGTATTCCACAATATGCTTTTCTGAGAATACTGTGGATATCAGTATTTCTAGAACACTAACCAACTGCTTGTTTCATTACAATGAGAGCATACTGGATTTAATGCAGTGCAGTATATGAAACATTAATTAAAAACGATTGTACTCAGTTTTTAACATGGTACCACTGGTTCTTTTTCATGTCTATTCCAACTTATCAAACATCAGGAAAAAAAACAAATATGTAGACATACTGGGTATTGTGAAAATTTCTTATTGGGATTTTTTGCCATATTGCCCACTTTTAGATGATACAGCAGTTCACAGCTAGAACCCAATTTGCAGAATGAGCTTAACAAAAGCTGGTTAGCTTGTGATTGCCGTCAAGGTGCCATAAAGAGTTGGGTCCTGCAACACGATAGGCTCTGATATGCAACCTGTGTGACATGGCTCGATATGCTGCTCCCACTGGATTGATTCTGATAAAACTTTCTCGAATTCTGTGTCGCTGTACTATGATACCCTCTCCAAAAAGCCGTGCTCTAACAGACTCCGCACCAAGTTCATCATTTCCAGCGTTCTGTTCGGAGATTCTTTCATCAAGGACTTGATCAGTCACATTAGTGTAGCGCCCCCGCAAAGACAAGTTCAACTGCCTGTTTAAATAGGGGGAAAAATTAGCCAGTCATAATTCAAAGAAAAGATAACATTTAAGAATGCACTGACATGGGAACTGTGGGCAGATGCCAATATCAGACATAGTATGTGCATATCTGTCAGTGCAGACATTTTTAAAATGTAGTTAGCAGAACTACGTTCATAAAAAAAGATGGTTCTTCAAGAGTTCTTTATTAAAGGGAATGGTTCTATACAGAACTATAAACACTCAAATAACCCTTTCTGTGACGAGTCAAACAGAAACAGACGCTTGCAGATATAAAATACAAAGGAGGCCTTACTAGTAGGATCGCAGTTCAAGTTCGTGGTCAAAAAAACAGGCATGGGTCAATTCCAGAAAGCAGATAAGAAACAAAACAATAAACATAACACCAGGCAAACAGTCCAAACAGGAGAAGGCAAAAACGTGAGTGTCTAAGTCCAAAATCCAAAGTCAGGCAAACAATCCGAAGCGCTGGGCGAAAAGACAAAGTCAAAGAACAAAGGCAAAGGTCACACACGACAATCAGATACAGGAATAAACGCTCAGTAGATCACGGAAACGGATGCAATACGCAAGTTTCCTATTCTAAAGCCCGGGCTTAAATACTATGCTATAGTAGTCAAAACACAGGTGACAATCATTAGTATTCTGGAGCTCGCGAAAGCGGATAGGAATTTGAGGTCAGGTGGGGGTCATGTGACCTCCCGGAGAGTTCTGGGAGTTTGAGTCCAGCTGTCTATCATTGTTGGTTGGCTGCGTGGAAGTCAGGTGATCTCCCAGAGGACTCTGGGAGATCGAGTCCGAATCCAACGAGGCACTCGGCGGATGCGTGACACTTTGCATGATTAAAGGGTTCTTTGCATCAGGAAAGGGTTCTTCAGATTGATAGAAAATGTGCATGAATAGACGTTTCTATATAGAAACTTTTTGAAAAGGGTTCTATATAACACTCATTCTTCTATTGGTTCAAGGCTGACATCATTACAATAGAAGAACCCTTTTGGGTGCTATATAGAACTCTTTTCAAAAAGGTTCCATATAGGACCATCTACAGCACATTCTCCATCAGTTTGAAGAACGCTTTCATGATGCAAAGAAAACTTTAATCATGCAAAGGGTTATTTGAGTGTTTATAGTTCTGTATAGAACCGTTTTCTTTAATAAAGAACCCTTGAAGAATCATCATTTTAAGAGTGTACCTCTATTTCAATTACCTTTATTTGTATTTGGTGTTTGGTGCAGCAGCCTGGCATGACCAAAACATTATGCTCTTCAGGAGGTCAAGAAATATGTAATTAAATACTGGTTAACATCTGTCCAATGCACAAAACTTTTTAAAAGCAATTATGTCCTAATACTGATAAGAGTCCAAAGTCATTGTACATCCACACTAGCGTAATTGGATGGCTATTAGAAACCTGCCAATAACAACTTAGTAACTTATCTAAGATGCCGTTTTACAGTTCTAATGGATACACTCAATATGTCAGCAATGTGTCGAGTTTTGAAGTTGAATTCCAGCAGGAACTTTAATGTGATAGAAAGACAAGGACGCCCAGTTTGACCCCGGATCAAAGGGCATTGGTAAGCTTGGCCAACTGAACAAATGAAGAAAACATTACAGCCACATCACACATAAGCATTTATAAAGCTGCAGACATAAATGTACAAAGGATCCTAATGTATCAGATATGCTTAAGTCTGTTAAGCGTTATAATATAATAATATAATATATATATGTTATAATATAACACATTATACTTTAGACTTTAGTTCAAAATTAGGTTTCTGTAAAATTTTGCTTGCAACACAGACATAACAATAAACAATGTTTCATAAAATAAAAAAAATAAATACCATGTGCAATAGAGGTGCAACACTCACTTTTATGTGATCAGTTAATTTCAAATAAGTTGTGGCTCTTAATCATCCTTGTGTATAACATCTGTTTGTTTCATTTTTCCTACTTTTAAATTTATAATCAGACACAGAATTTGCATAGGCATACGCAATATACTTTACAGTATAGTGGTGTTCTCTTGTTTATTTTTAATCATAGACCTTTGTATTTTCTGTTAAGCTACACAAGCTTGAAGTGCCAAAGTTATGTTTCTGTGTAACAATTTTGAGAATAAATTTAAGAATCTTTACTTCAATATGATGGATACAAAAAAAGTTCCATTTACTTTCTGGGGGTCTGATTGAAAAAATAAATGCAGGTTCCATATTGACACATACTGCACACCTGTACATGTATGCTATATTTATGACTGCTCTGGTATTGACCATAGGGATTCTGTAAATGTGCTAAGATTAAGTTTTGCCCCATCATTTCATCAGGAGACAAAATAAGGGGTGGTGAGCATTCTTCTTCCCCCAAGTGAACCTGAACACCTGTGCATGTATGCTATATTTATGACTTCTCACCTCAGGTCTTCAGTGCTATGCACTCAAACATTTATTTTTAAAAAAAAAGGAAAGACAATTTATTTTATGCATCGAGTACTAGGACAAAGAGCTTTTGTGGTTTTGTCTTTCACACTTTACTATATGTTCAAATATGCAATACTGTGCAAGTCAGAGACCACCATTAATTTGTTCAATTTCCTGTCAAAATGGCTATTAGGTACCAGTTATTCACTTTTCATTTTCATTTTTCATCTCTAAAGAAAGCAGATATAAGACTTGCATAAAGAAAGGGTAAGTCAAATGAAAATAAGCAAAAAATCCTAAAGTTTAAAATACTATTAAAACACAGAGCAAAAATTAGACTCCTAACAACTGTGCAAGTCCTGGTAGACCACCAAAACTGTCTCTGGCAGATAAACAGTACTTAAAACTTTGCTTTCATCTTTCTATTGTCAGAAGACAATTCAACACTATGGGTCTGAAAGGATGTGTAACCGCCATGAAGCCATTACTGAGAAAAGAACACAGACACAAAAAAAGAAGGAAATCTGCAAGATAAAGAAGCTGCTCTTGTTGTTCTCAGAATAATGGACTATCCACCCTAGAGCCCAGACCTCAACATCATTGAATGTGGATTTTTTTGGACTGTGAGAAGCAGAAAATCACTTTGAAGACTGAAGTGGAGGTGTGGCAAAATATCCCTGAAGATTTCTTTGAAAAACTGAAACTAATTCTCCTGAAGAGTATGGAAGCTGCAATACAGGCAAAAGGTAGACACAGGCCTGGATCATCCAATGAGTTTTATGGGCACGTGCCCTGAGGCCCGAGACACTTGGGGGCCGCCTCTAGCAAGAAAATCTAAACAGCTGTTGTGACTCACAGTGGGAACGCTACTAACAGAAAATTAACTATTACATTGTCCCAGCTAGCAATGCATGCAAAAAAAACAAACTGCTTCCATCATAATCAATGAAGCTGTCTACACCAGCGGCAAGTGGCAGAGTGAGTTTTGACATACTTTGCAATTCCACCGTAAAATGGATGAGAAGAAAATCTTCCATGAGAGGAATCTCCACAACCATTCCAGTGAACGATTTGATGAGAAACAGCCAGAGTGCTGAAAGTTAGATGTGAAAACTGTCTGTTTTGTGTTAGATAACTAGCTAGTTAAGGTAGCTAAGTAGATACACATTAACATGACCGAGCTGCCCAATACCACAGCAGTATAATTCTATGTTATTTAGACTACTGATGTTAAATGTGGGGATAAAATAACCTGTAGAGCAGCCATCTTTTGGTAGGTCTGTGGTTTGTTTATGTTTTGACTTGTCACACACTTCTGACATTTCTGGTGTAGACATCTTGCACGCCTTCCGAAGCGATGGGTGTGATGTAATTTTGTGTTACAGCCGGTCATAATCATGATGCTCTCCACGTCTTTCCTTAAGGTCAATTTATTTTTCTCCACCAATCACTGCTTAGTAACCATTACACTCTTATATGAAGCTCCAGGTGTTTAAAAGATGTGCCTGAGGGATCTATAAAAGGGAACTCGAAACTTTGACAGAGTGGAAGATGCCTGTTTCCAAAGCCAAATATAAAATGTTAATCCCCCAAGTTAAAATGTTGATTTGTCCTTGTCAGCAGAGGTAATACACATGAAAAAAAAAACATGTCCACGCCCACTGCTGCAATATACTTTAGCTAGGATGCTTGATGGTTTCTAGGTTTGCTGCTTTTTCCATCTTTATGCACATTTTCGCTGTCTGATTGTGTCTTCATTGGGGTAAATGTTTGGTTGTCAAGAATGGCTACATGCTTTATACGGAAATGTTGCACTGGTTGTTGGGGTTATTTTGACTTGTGTTCAAATTAATACATATGTAATCTTGCTACTGTTTTGTCTCGATTGGAAAAAAAAAATGCACTCATAATGGTGACGTGCCAATTCTGTGGTTGGTATGCTGCCATTGTGGTGCTGCATAGGCCATCTTTAACTTGCTGTGGTATTATAACAAAATCACTGACCTCCCTAAAAAGGTAGCCAGGTAGGGGCCCACCAGACATTTGTGCCCAGAAGCCCATAACTTGATGTTTTGTGCCTGAGTAGACACACTATAATCCTTTAAAAAAAACAGTTCAGTTATTATCTAATCAGTTATTATGTTTCTAAACTGTGGAACTCAATTCCACCTTTTATTAGACAGACAAGCTCAGTACACACTTTTAAGATGCATCTAAAACATATCTCTTTCACACAGCATTTAATTAAAACTCTATGTCTTGTTATACTTATTATCCGGCATAACAGATAACTACATAAGAGGTTCATCCAAGTCTTATCTAGGCAATATTAGGCAAAAGGCTAAAGTTAGCTAGCTAGATAGCTTGACTGCATTACATAACATTACATATCTAGAATCTTGGTTTCATCCAAAATTATTCAAATATAATCCTTCATATCCATGCTTGTTTTATTCATTTTATTGTCATTATTTAATTTAATGCATTTATTTATTTATTTATTTATTTATTTATTTTTTTTTGGAGAGCAGCATGTTCTCTGCCCAGACCTGAAGTATCTGGTGGAGCTGTCTGTTTGCCTAAGGACTACGCTGTGCAGCACTCAGAGGAGGTACACGTAAAGGCCACCAAGGATTCCTCAAACTCACTTTTTCCCGACAGGGTTTCTCAGGCGTTGGTACACATTGCTACACATTATATCACAAAATATTTTCATAATGTTCTACACATAGGTTAAAGTAATTTGTAATAGAAAGAAAGCATAATTTCCACAATTGCATCCTTAATGACTATCCTTGAAATTACAAAATTTTCTCCTTGTTAAGAGAAGTTTTTTAACAGCCGTTAATGTTAATTATGTGCATTCCTTACCTCAAGAGCCACTACATACCATCAGCACTGCCTCCTCGATACCACACAACGACACAACATTCTAGCCTACTTTAGACACAGGCTCACTCATTGTCTCCTTGTGCACGTTGTGATTTTCATAAGTGGCGCCTCATCCTGGATAATCATTTGTTTTCCTTTCCTGGATAAACATCGCTATCGTCCAATCAATGATTTGTGACATCATCAGCCTGCGCCTTTGCTGTTTTTCAAATTACGACCAGTGCCTCCTGCTCCTGCAGAGCAACAGGTAACTCCACAAATGCATTGTCTATAAGCTTTTTCTATACTGAAATGTAATAGGATAAAACAAATGGGTACAAATTTTTACTAAAGTCATTTCATCAACTGACAGATAGTGTG